TTTACTGATGGTAAGAGCACACCCACTTTCATCCACTGCAGAAAATGTAGTAGACTGTAGACTTTTTATTACCAAAAACTCCCAGATGTCAGATGCATTGCAAGGCAATGTACATGTCTCTGAGGGTCTGAAAAAGATAGGCAGCAGACCAAACCAAGCAGAGAACAAGATCTGCTAAGCTCTGTCCCACTGACTAGTCACTAACAGACAACAGTGGTTATATTTTCATTTTCATTTTTAGGTAAAAAATTATTGCTAGGGAGAATTCAGCAGTTACTTTATATTGGTAGGAACATTGATACCAAATGATATGCTCTTGCCTCCTATACAATATTCAGTGAAAGAAACTGTGTCTAGATAAAAAGGGAGGCACTTATAATCTAATAAAAGACCATCGCTAAAGTGTCATAATGAGGGGGAAAAAATAAAGGTGACACTGATTTGGTCAGAGAAAAATGGAGGTTGAGAGCTTGTTTTGGGAAATGCTCAGCTGTCAGGGGATGGTTGCTAAATCACTGTCAATATTATTGTAAATGCAAACAAATATTAATTTGTAAACACAAAACAAAAACTCTCCATGATCAACGAATATATGCACTCTTTACAGTTGGCAATCAAACACAGTCTAACTTGTATTGCTCAAGTACTTTAGGTGGTACTTGTGCCAGATACAACTGCATGGTGGGGGCTGCGCCACTGTGGGTAAAAACCAGCTGGAAAACTTCTGTTTTTAATAAGAGGTGGAGTGGACCAACTGCGGAGAGGGGGGCAAAGGGCTATACCAATGTGAGTGAGTGAGGAGTGAGTGATTCTAACGGTGAGAAAGTAGAAGTCCCGCTAATCAACTACACTGATATCACACTGTCAAAATACTCAAGGACAAGTAAAAGCCCTGCATTTAAAATCTTACTTAGGTGAAAGTATTGCCACCAAACGTTTGCATTCTGCATTAATATGTTCCCTGTCCCTTCTCTATTGTATCTGATTTTGTTTGATAATTGATATTCCTTCTGCGTTAATGTGTACAGTATGTTACTTTCCTGCTGTAGATGTTTAAAGTTGAGGTTAACTCCTTTAAAACCTGCTGGGTAGTTACATCTGCAGCAATGCATCATATTTTTTATAAGATCATCATATGTTTGTATCACTCCTACAAGAGCCAAGTATCTCAAAAAATTCAACTTTTCATGAGCTCAGAATAGCAGGGCCCTTCTGACCCATATCTATGAGGCTGCTAACCTGAACCACTGATAATGCCAACTTGTGTGCGTGTGTGTGTGTGTGTGTGTGTGTGCAACTTCACACAAAATGTAGTAATGTTATTGTGAGTAGCCTCGGTTCTTTGAAGACAGGCTGCTTCATGAGAAATATTGCATATTCATATAGAAAATATTTTAGTTTTTGTTGAGCTAAATGTAAATGCTCCGTACTTGTATAGCGCCTTTCTAGTCTTTTCGACCACTCAAAGCGCTTTTACACTACATCTGCATTCACCAGTCACACACATTCATACACTGAGCCACTGAGCTGCATTTAGAACTGTCAAAACATTTGAAAGAAATTACCTACCGATGCTGGTGACTGCATTATGGATGAGTTATTGCTCATGCAAAGCTTTCATTGAAGGCCTTGGATTACAGAAGACCTCTTGCATGAGACATAACGTATTTATTTAAAACCACAATCTTTTCCCAACTATAAAAAAGTGCTTTTGTTGTCTTAACCCACCCCTGGCTCTGCAGGTGCACAAATTCAATTCAATTTTATTTTATAGCTCCAAATCACAGCAACCGTTCTCTCTAAGCGCTTTTCATAAAAGAGCAGGTCTAGACCGTATTCTGTGATGCCATTTACAGAGTCCCAACCGTTCCCACCAAGAGCAGCACTAGGCGACAGAGGCGAGGAAAAACTTCCTTTTAAGAGGCAGAAACCTCGAGCAGAAGCATGGCTCAGGGTGGGCGGCCATCTGCCTCGACCGGTTGGGGATGAGAGAGAGAGGGAGAGAGAGAGAGGGTTGGAAGGAGAGAGAGAGGGGAGGGAGGCAGCCTACACAATATATACACAGAGGTACAGACAGTAAAGGTGATGTTGCTATAGACTGAAGGAATAATGGTACAGATATATACAGTAGTGTTAATGATAATTATCGTAATTTTAATGATTATAATAACAATAGGACTAGTAACAATAGTTGCAGCAGAGGGTGTCGAGCAGGAACACGGGGGCAGCAGGTGACTCGCAACCACAGATCCAGACTCCACAGCTCCAGAGCCAGAAACACCTGCAGGAAGTGATAGGAGGAGAGAGGAGAGGGACGAGAAAGCACAAGACTACCAGAAAGGGGAGAAGTTGTGTTAGTAACATGCAATAATGGGATGAGGTTGCATAGAGAGGGAGAAACAGAAGAGGAGAGAGGAGCTCAGTGCATCATGGGAAGTCCCCAGGCAGTCTAGGCAGCATAACTAAGGGATGGTTCAGGACTCACCTGAGCCAGCCCTAACTATAAGCTTTATCAAAGAGGAAAGTCTTAAGCCTACTCTTAAATGTGGAGATGGTGTCTGCCTCCTGAACCCAAACTGGAACCTGGTTCCACAGCAGAGGAGCTTGATAGCTGAACGCTCTGGCTCCTAGTCTACTTTTCGAGACTCTAGGAACCACAAGTAACCCTGCATTCTGGGAGCGCAGTGCTCTGGTGGGGTAGTAAGGTACTATGAGCTCTTTAAGATAAGATGGTGCCTGACCATTAAGTACTTTGTAGGTGAGAAGAAGGATTTTAAATTCTATTCTGGATTTTACTGGAAGCCAATGCAGAGAAGCTAAGACAGGAGAAATATGAGCTGTGTCTCACTTCAGGGACCGCATCCTTCGAAGGGCGTGGCCTTCGCGACCTACGAAGGCCAAACAGACCGTTGTTAAATGAGACGGTCTGGTCTACGGAGGACTGTCTATTTCGTCATCAACTGACCCCGCCCTTACCCATGAGTGGGGAAGCGCCACTCCTGTCGCCTAGCAACCTTCACAGCTGCGGTCCACCGGCAATGGCGACGAATATTTTAATTTTAATATTTTACCTCTTAATAGAAGAACTAGAGCTACTTCACCGCCGGCGCCACCGCATGATTTATCTCAGGCTGAGAGAGGACCCTGGCCAGGTAAATAGTGGGGGAAAGTAACTAAGAAACGTTACATTTTATATGTATTTAGGTACTATAGGCTTCCTAAAGCTAACAGTGATGTTAACCTCAGTTAACGTAGTTTATTGCTACTGCCATTTCACTTTAACAACATAGGTTTCTTTAAATATGAAAATTAACCTTACTTAAATATTTAAATATTGACACTGTTTTTGTCATTGATCAGCTAAAGCAAGGTGAATAGAAAGATATACAAGCCTTATCTAACTAAGCTCTCTACACTTCATAACAGTTGTTCTTCTCCTTTTTATCCCTACACCAGCCCCGGCCCCTGTACTGCAGGATAAATTTGAGAGTTCCTGTGCTGGACAGGTTTTTTAACCTGCAGGACACACGGCCGGATTTCCGGTTGAGCAGGGAGGCCCTGGGAGTGTTATTGGGCCTCCTAAACCACGAACGGAGACACGGATGGGGTGCCACGATTGAGACCCTGGTGCTTCTCTTCTGGCTGGCAAGCGGGGCATCATACAGGGTGGTCTCCAGAGTGTTTACATTGCCTCGATTCACTGTCCACCGCTAGTCCACAGAGTCACTGTGGAGGTGGTGGCCATTCGCCACAAGGTCATACACCTACCCAAGACCCAGGGTGAGTTACAACCAATATCCCGTTGGTTTGCAGGGCTGGCAAGACACAGAGCCTTTTTTAAAGCAGCTGGAGCAATCGACGGCTGCCATGTCCGCATCAAGCCACCGAGCGGCCATGATGATCAGTGCTACAGGAACAGGAAACGTTTTCATCCATCATCCTGAAGGCTGTTTGTGACCATCAGGGCCACTTCATTGACACTTACGTGGGCTGGCCTGGGTCGGTCCACTACTCCAGAGTGCTCCGCTACAGCCCACTGTACAGGAGTTCACTCTACCCTCCTCCAGGGCATTTCATCCTTGCAGACAGAGGGTACCCGTGCCTCCAACACCCACTCCCCCTCATCACTCCCTACAAGAAGCCAATACAAGGTGTGGGAGCCCAGCGCTTCAACAGCCATCACTCCAAGGCACGATCCATTATAGAGCGTGCTTTTGGGATGATGAAGACCAGGTTCCGGGCCATCTTCCTGCAACCGCTGGAGGTGCACCACACCTTTGTACCTCACGTGAGTATTTTCTATATTGTACTAATGAGTAAATCAACAGACTGATTCATCAAAAAGCATAAATGTTTTTTTTTTCAGACTGAAATATATTTTTAACCATTTCAGGTCATAACAGCATGTGCCATCCTCCACAACATCTGCCTTGGTGCTGGTGACATTGTGGCCCCAGAGGATGAGCCTGAGGAGGATGAGGCGTTGGAGACAGTTATCGGTGCTCCCTGGCGTGACCAGCAGAGGTGTCTGCCCTGGAGGAGGTGCCCCCTGACCACCAATATTTTTAACAGGCAAGTAAAAGATCGGTAAATTCCTATTCATATCCTAACAATTTTGCCTGTTGAAATATTTTGTAGATTTATTTTGTCAAAATAAGATTGTGAATTAGTATTTTGTGTGCACTGCCTATTATTCTTGCTTCTTACTAAAACATCTTAGTGACATGGCAGCCGTCGATTGAACCAGCCCTGCAAACCCACTGATGGACGATGCAGTGGACAGTGGAGAGATGCATCCACTCCTGCAACACACTGACCAGGGTCTTTATTGTGGCAGCCCATCCAGGTCCAGCAGCATCACCAGGGTCTCCCTGCTCAGAATAAATGTTGTAAATATGCTGTTAGTTATAAAGACCACAGAAAATAAAATCATTTATTTAACAAATATTTTATTTGAATTGATTAATAAATATTTTATATATTATTATTTAAGGATTTCTTTTTTATTTATTTTTCGGCAAGTCTCTCTAGTAGAGAGAACAGCCTGTCCATCCTCTCCTCTGCCTCTCTCTGCAACCTCATGTCTTCCTTCAGTTGCTGAAGCAGCTCATCCTCTCTGTCACTCTTCCTCTTTCTCTTTCTCGGCTGGCTCTCCTCCTCCTCTTCCTCCTCCTGGTCACCCACTGCAGTACTTGGCCCTGGTGTGTCTTCAGGGATAGAGGCAAGTTCTCGGCTGGCTCTCCTCCTCCTCCTCTTCCTCCTCCTGGTCACCCACTGCAGCATTTGGCCCTGGTGTGTCTTCAGGGATAGAGGCAATTACGACAGGTGGGGTGGTGGAATGCCTCTGTCCCAACATCTCATCCATGAGGACAAACCAGGGCCAAATTGCAGCAGTGGGCTTTCCCCCTACACCCTCTCCTGACTCTGGACACTTGCAATCCTAAGGCACAGGAAATAAATCATGGTAAATAACAACAGCAGAAAAACAAATTTCAGCAACTGTGTTTATTAACGTGCATGGCTGAAATGAATATAATATGAATAACGTACATGGTAAATGTATGTATTATATTAAAACAGGGTTGTAAGATGAATGCGGTTTATATTTCCCTTTATGCTGCACAGTGAACGATTTATACAAAAATTTATACAGAATATATCAATTTCAAATCATACATACATACTTTGTTGTCCTAATCACAGAGAAACAAAAGAAATAAGAAAGATAAGATGAGATAAGAAAAACCTTTATTTGTCCCACAGTGGGGAAATTGCGGTACATAGTAATTGTGTGAAGACTGGAAAGGGTGACAGGGCAGGACAGAGACACAAAAACATAACAAAGGGCTGCCCCATTTACTAGTTGTCTTATTGTTAAAGGCTTTGAATAGGATGGCGGCTCATTTAACTGTAACTTTAAGTACACGATGATTAAATGCAGATCTTGCGAAAGGGCTATTGATACTTTAATTACCTCCAAGCCACGTTGGCAGAAAACTTTGCCCCGGTGAAGAGGTGGTCGCTCTCCCCCCTCAATTTAATAAAGAGGGCAGTTTGCTCCTTGCTCCCTAAAACAAAACGACATGTTCAAGTAAGTTTTATGCTTCACATCACCAAACAGTAAGCAGCATAAATCGCAAAATAACCTAGTTACATTAACCGTATACTATATCCCAAGGTTTTTGTAAGTGTTACTAACGTTAACGGTGTGAAAACCAAGCAGGGTTCACAACCCGTCTAACGTTAAAGTAGTCTAACGTTACGTGTTAATGTTATTTTCATGTACATAATATTAAGTATAAGAGATGTATAATATCGCGACAATCTCGGTAAGACGCAGGTCTGACCTGAACCTCTTCGATTTTAAGTGAAGACATTAAAGGCTTTATTTTTCAGGTTGTAACTTGCCCAGCCGATTTGCATTTAACGTTAACGTTAGCATCAGTAACCTCAGGTAACATTAACTTAAAGTTAGCTCGCCAGTTAATCACTTAACTCACGTTAACTTCCACAAAACTATTCTCTAAACGACACATTGCGCTTTTATGCCTCTTGTAATTTTTACATTTGTGTAGTTGGCTTTTGAAGTGAGTTGAAATCCAATACTTACATTATTAAATCCGGGGGGCTGAGCTCCACAGCCACAGCCGACGCCATAATTTACGCTGGGACAATCAACTGGCGCGCAATGAATGTCAGGATACCTGGGGCTGCAAAGGATCCAGCTTTTGGATCCTCCAAACGGACGAAAAGAAGGCTGCATTTGTCGGCCGCATTTGAAGGAGACTTCGAAATGGGACAGCCTAGTCGCATAGACTCTGACATATTCGGTCTTCAAATGCAGCCTTCGAAGGATGCGGTTCCTGAATTGAGACACAGCTATGATCTCTTTTCCTGGTTCCTGTCAGAACACGTGCTGCGTCATTCTGGATCAGCTGAAGAGTCATAATGGACTTTTTCGAGCAGCCTGATAATAAAGAATTGCAGTAATCCAGCCTAGAAGTAACAAATGCATGGAATAGTTTTTCTGCATCATTTTTAGACAGGATATTCCTGATTTTCGCAATATTACGTAGGTGAAAAAAGGTGGTCCTTGAAATTTGCTTAATGTGGGACTTAAAGGGACTATATGTAAGTTTTTCAATGAAAGTAATCAAATTTTCATTGCCTTATTGTTAATGGGCTCAAAACTCACTTGTAAATGAAGCACACGCCTGTTTTCTCCGTTGCTTGCATCAGCCACTATTCTGCTTGTAATGTGAGGTCTCCGGGTCGGATTCAGCTCTGTGCGCGCTCCCGAGCCCCTCTCAAATTACAGCGACAACATGGCAGCTTACGACAGGCAGTCCACTAACACCATAAAACAACAGGCTCCACGTAAGGATACAAAACAACAATAAAGGTTTATGTGCTGAAGCCCATCAGACTAAACAGGTTCAGATGATGTCGAGTAAGAACAAAGTGAGCATTAGTAAAGCTGGAGAAACACAGAGAAAGCCACGTTAGCTCGCCGGCTAACGCCAAGCAGTTGCTAATGTTATCCGGTGCAAAGTTGTATTACGCTAGTATACTAATGCCTATTATGATGCAGCCAGGAGCAGCCAGCTAACGCTACAGTAGCTCGGACCTGCAGCTGTTTGCTTCGTAACGTTCACTTTAGGTTTATTGTCGTTTTACCAATACTCAGGTACACAGCTTCTCCGGCTCTCAGTTGCTGTAACTAACATGACCCACATAGTATACAACACTGCAACAAAATGGTCATAACAACACAGAGGAAGAGCCATCCACTAACACTAGTTACAGTAAAGTCACTTACTGCGGTCTAACTGTTATAAAGTGTGACCCAGTCTCGTTATAATATTCAGTCCAGCTCACTACCCGTTTCATTATCATCCAATACATGTACGTGTGCTGACATTGCTTAGCCTCTGAAGACAGATTCACAGATAAGTAAAGTTAGTTACTGAAAACAGTAGGCAAGCTAACGATGTAGCACGTCGGCTAAATGCAGTAAATGTAACGTTATCATGTAACGAGCATAGATTAGTAATAGAAAAGTTACTAGTTTCTAAGTAAAACTATTACTGTAACGTTGCAGTGGGAATTTACCTGAGTTTCCAGCTCTGTCTGTTCTCCCTGCCTGTCTATAGCCACTGTCACTCTGCATTTTTTCGGGAGGATTGTGCCAATATGCGGCTAGCTGCGTTGCATGAAAGGTACGGCGCTGGTGTTGATCTGCCTCTGAGATGGGAACATTGAAGTAACAGAGCCTGAACATGTCTGAGTGAAAAGCCACAGCCGGCATGCTGGTGTTTCTGCGTTTATTGCAGGATTTCTGTATGAAAGCGGTTGTGTTTCGGATTATGCTCGCTCATGAGTTCAAGCAAGCATGCATACGAGCACACACCTGGTTGCAATCTTAGAACTGCACCGCTAGTGGCTGCTGGAAAGTACATAATGCCCCTTTAAACGACATGTCCTGATCAAAGATAACTCCAAGATTCCTCATAGTGGTGCTGGATGCCAGGGCGATGCCATAAAGGGAAACTTCATCTTCAGATAATGCATCACAGAGGAGCTTGGGACCCAGAACAATAACTTCAGTTTTATCCATGTTTAACATTAGAAAATTACAGGTCATCCAGGTTTTAACATCCTGAAGGCACAATTGAAATTTAGCTAACTGATTAGTTTCATCTGGCTTGATCGATAGATATAACTGAGTATCATCTGCATAACAATGGACGTTTTATGGAGTGTTTCCTGATAATATTGCCTAAAGGAAGCATATATAAAGTGAAGAGGATTGGTCCGAGCATAGATCCTTGTGGAACCCCATGACTAAATTTGGCGTACATGGAGGATTCATCGTTAACATGTACAAACTGAAATCGATCTGATAAATAAGACTTAAACCAGGTTACAGCGGTTCCTTTAACGCCAATGAAATGTTCTAGTCTCTGTAATAGGATCTGATGGTCAATGGTATCAAATGCAGCACTAAGATCTAATAAAACCAGCACAAAGACAAGTCCTTTGTCGGATGCAATAAGGAGGTCATTAGTAATTTTCACCAGTGCTGTCTCTGTGCTATGATGAACTCTACAAATCACTTTTGCTCCACATTTCTCTGTGGTGCAAAAGACAGAGCACTCTTTTCATTTGTGAGTGAAAAAAACTGCATTTGAAACTGGTGGCAGCAGATTCAAGTAGTTGTAGTTGTTGATTTGTGCAAAACATCTATTATCATGCGGATGCGCAAAACTGTATATTCTATGACTTTACTTTTTTTTTATATGGGTGTGTGAATGCGTTTATCACCATATTCACTGCAGCAAAATGTGAGCGCATGAGAAACACACTACCATGGTGTAGCTGCAGCCTTTATTCTGCTCTGAACAGAGTCATGTGTCTGCGATAGTATAACAAAACATTAGAAGACTTGGGATCAGGTGACCACCTTCCTCTAAACAGATCAAGGATACATAAAATAATAAATAAAAGAAGCACAATGAATATATCCTAATGTAACAGAGTAAAAGTAATGTTTTTTTCTAAACATCTACAGAGATGCATTACTCTGGCAAGTACAATATACTCAAAACGAGTAGGCTTACATATAACACAGTAAATGTAACTCTTTACTGCCGATCCAGAAACCTCATATCTATAGTTAATCACTGACATGGACCATTTTACTGCACAAGGAGTACTTTTTAACTTTTTCAACTTCAAGCTCTCCCAATGTTTTTTTTGTTGTTGTTGTTGTCTCATTTGTAACCAACGTTGATGTTGGCGAAGCCAAAGAAGATTTCTCACATTGAACAATAAAGTTTCTAAACTAACCTATTTCAATACTTCATCATGGTTTTAATTACAGTTGTTACGCAAGCAAAAACTGAGAAATTATGATTTGTTGATGTAAAACAGTAATTAATTAAGCATCCACCTTGGTACAGAGAGGTAATTTATAGGCCTACATATAGTGTGAAGAAAATTGTTTTAAAATCCAGGACCCCCCCATCAGCTGATAAAGCTCCTGGATGAGCGGAGAACCATCTTGTGTAATATATCCTGTAAATTAGGCTGTTTGTTTTGACTTGAAATGCAACAGTGAACTTTTCTTTTGTGGTAAATGTTTGATCTTTCTTTTTGTTCTCTCCTCTGACTTCATGTTAAAGTGTTTGACGATGGCATTACTGAAGACGTGGTGCCTCCTGCCCCTCGCTGCTCTCCTCCTTCTATTTAACGTTCCTTCATCAGCTGAAGTGGTGAGGTCGATGTCAGACTGTGCAGAGTTTCTTCTTCTAAACAAGACACCAGAAGTCCCAGGAATCTTGGAGGGAGGGAACATCCTGGACCAGAACAGATATAAACCCATTTGCCAGACTTGGAGAAACACAAAACGTTTTTTGATGCTCTACGACACCATAAACAAGATCCCAGTGTTTTCTGCTAACAAGTACAGAGGAGATGGTGTCAGGAGGAGACCCACAGGGAAAGGTCTTTGGAAGAAAGAACCACAGGTAAGGTTTAAAAAAAAAAGAAAAAAAAAAGAAGCTTTTTTTTAAATTCAAAACTATAATGTTGTATTTTTGAGTTAATTCTACATGAATAACATCTGTGCCTCCACATGCACAGCTTCAGAAACACATTGATCTTAATTTAACAAATTATATTTTTTGTAAATGGACATAAACCTTGATGATACTGCGATCCTACATAGTAGATCTGTCATGGTAGATACTAGTAGACATGGTCGAATCAGAATTGTCAAGGATCGTCGGATTAGTCCACTATTGGGGGGGGTTACTCATGGATCTATTCCAAGTTGCCTACTGTTTAAAAACAAAATAATATTCTTTGTGTGGTTCATCAATGATGATCCCTCAAAGTTCACGCACAACTCTGCACATCACCAGCATGGCTGGTGCTCTCTCCCTCTTCTACCACAGGCACACACGTTACGCCAACACATGCGCGCTGATTTCGCCACAATTTTGGATTTATTTATTCACTAGAAAAATAAATATTTAAAGCTTCTTTCTTTTTACATGTTTATTTGCAACATTATATGCTAATATTTATATCATAAAGGCTGTATATTATTGTACTGGGAGAACACCAGTAGTTCTATGTAAAATCAGACTTTGAGCAATCCCACACAGCCAAAATGGTATGATCCTCGTTTCATGACTTCACAGCGAAGATTCGACAGTCAGATTGGGAGTCGAATCAGGCTCCTCCTATCGAAGCATCGTTTCTTAGACTATTTGGGGTAACCCCTACTACATAGCTGAAAAAGGATGTATGAACTACTATAAATCTGGTTGTGCTGCCGTGACCAAATTGCCTACAGCTAATTAACAACTGACCACAGCAACTACTCTAACACTAGTTGACTTAACTGACCTCTACATGCTGATACTGCCACTACTAGGCTGTATAATAGCACATTACTATGATTTTAATATTAGTTTTTAGCTTTTTAAGTTATCATGTTTATCATTTATTGAGTGATCTACAAGTATTAGTATTTTATTTTCTGTAATATTGTAACAAGTTGTCCCTAAATGACAACAAACTTTAAGCCTCACTGAATGCCGTGGCTAAAAACTGATGTTATCAAGTTTGCTTTGTAAAATGAATCTATCAAAATAAGTAAACCTTACTGTCTAAGTTTGCCCAGTATCATGTTAAGAGATTGCTGAATACATTTAAAATTACATCATCTTTTTTAACCAATAGATAACTGTATATTTAATCTAATGTATTACTACCCTGCCTGTATTATTAACTGCTATTCAATTGTTACAGCTTGAGAACAACAACAAGATCATGACGCCAGCAGAAATGTACAGCCACCAGCCTGTGAACACTGATTACAGAAACATTCGGTCAGTCGAAAGAGGGGATTTATTTCCAAGCTCTTATGCATTTCCGGTAAATAAGAAGATATCTACCTTTGCCCTGACCAACATTGTTCCACAAAAAAAGATATTCAACAAGAGAAGCTGGAGCAGAATGGAGAAGTGCATGAAATGTGTACTGGATAAATACTGCATCAACAACGACAACTTTCCTGAAGGCTTTGTGGTAAACGGAGCACAGCCCAGCACCAACAACTTGCTCAACAACAAGGTTAATATTCCCTCCATGCTCTGGTCAGCATTCTGCTGCTACAGTCACAGTGAGAATAAGTGGCTAGCCAGTGCATACTGGGGCGAAAACACTAAAGATAGTTATACTTATACTGAGACCTTGGCAGAGCTCCACAGTAAACTGAGCAGAGAAAACACTTCAGGATTTGAAGTTTTTCCTGGAACACAATGTCCTCTCAACACCACAGTCATTCAGTTATACCCAAACCTAAAGAAAGATTGCAAATGCCCACCACCCATTTCATCTGCCCCTAACGTTACCACATCTGACCAACTTTCTACCATATCTGCCTGCATCAGATCCTCCTGCACTTCAGAGCCATTGAGAATGCGTCATTTTATTAATGTGAGGGGCAAAAAGTGTGTGAGTGTGTTGTGTCTCTCAAGAACGTATGGTATCTCAGTATATGTTTTGAGAAAAAGTGGTTGTTCAAAAGAATTTCTTCCAAGAAAACATAGGCATATCTGCTGTACTTAATATGGTAAGACTTTAGCAGCTTTCAGTTTGCAAATGGTATCTTTATCCAACAAAATTCTCAGCTCACAAGCTTGTCCTTCACAAACAACTGTCTCAGTCCACTATTTAGTGAGTCGAACTGAATGGCCTGCCGTATTTCAGTTTAGTGAAACATTTTCTTGCCTTGTCTTTTTTTAGGCTTTATTCTGAGCTGTTTTGTAATTGAGATTCTTTATATAGCTTAACATAGTGTGCATGATTTAATTCAATTAATTAATTAACTTTATTTTACCTCTTATTTTTACCTCTTTGATGTGTGCTTGAATGTTCTAATACATTTATTTGCCTTATGTACAACATTTTGATCAAATCATTGAATCAAATAAACAGTATGTAATATTAACGAGAAAAATGCACATATACACTGTTTACAGGCAGTGAATTTATTATATGACCAGTACCAATGTGCATCTTAAATGACCTTATCTAGAAAGACAGAATATTGTTTCACAAAACAGACCTTAATTCAACACTTCATCAAGCATTTCTTGAGTATTTTATGAAATAATTCCTGCTGTAACAGTGTTTATATGCAGTTTTTGCCTTTGTTCTTTTGTCTCTTTTGGTCTTTAGATTTTTCAGATGTTAAATTGTTTAATCACATATTAAACTGTTTAATCAATGTTATGGTTTGCCTGCTACTGTTCATATACATTTCATGAAATAAATATAAAACTTATGAATGACTGCATCTTTGTAATTCCACTAGCTTCCACTTGGTGTCCTTTTGTATTCCCACATGTATCCACGACCTTTCTCTCTATTTATCCTCCCAAAATACGATTAAAATGGCCCAGACGGTTTGGTTTTTGTACCCCCCGTACCTGCACCAGCCACATCCGACTCTGTGCAGAGACAAGTCAGGAGAGGTCTAGGTAAGTCACACACATTTGTTGCCTATGTTGTACCATATTACATATCACTGAATGATATAACTTTATTTTTGATGGCTCTGTCTTCAAGAGGACTGTTATTCCAAGCAGAACCTGATGTGGAAGGGTCCACATAGGAGACCACCTTGCATGTATCGTGTTACATGTCAGGCACGATCACACAGGAAAAGAACTTCAGTTCACTGACAAAGTCATAGCTTGTACTCTTCAAAAATAGAAATTGAATTACATTACATTCTGTTCCTAACACCATGACCATCACAAATTATTTTCAGTAGAAAATAAAGCATAAACGAGGAGGTAGCCTAAATTACATTTTATCATTACTGTTTGAAATGAGGCTACAGATGTCCCCTATTATGTAAATATAAATAACCACAAGTGGTAATGGAAATTTTATGGCAAAACTTGCATAAACTTGTTGTAGACAATGAAAATAAAAACATCATTTTTACCTTTTTTTTTCAGAAATACAATAGAAGTGCAGTATAACAAAATATTTATAGAAAAAAATTAAATAAATCAAGTGGTGGGGGGAATATGAATTCATTTATATAAAAATGTAATAATAAATAAAATGTAAACTATACATTTATTTGATGCCTTGATGATGCTGAGGCAGGTTTGTGAGTACTTGTGTGAAACTGTATGACCATGCCAGAGGGCCTGAAAGGAAATGTATAAGCCGGGAATGAAACCCATACAGTGTCCCTGATCCTCCAAACAGAATAAATGGAGATGACAAGTCTGTTTCCCTGGCCTAAAGACCCATGTTGCCAATAGATAGATGTCTATAGGCACCACAGAGGTCCTCTCTGTTGTCATCCCCAGGCTCCCTGATGTGGCCTAATGCCGCAATGTCCTCCTGGTACTGCCTGTGAATGTGAATAAAGCCTTATTCAAGTCAGTACTGGGAGAAGTTTGGCAATAGGCTCACACAGTTCGCTGGCTCCTGGCCACAGCATTTCTTCTCCTGGTCCGTAGGCATTTTACTATAATTACCACAAGTAAACCAAGGTACTCCTGGCACTCCGGCTAAAGAGTCAGGCACCACTCCTGTGCTAATGCATCATCAGGGCATCAAAAACTAGGCCTGGCTGCCTCTCCAGCAGAAGGGTGGAGAGCTTGGGGTGTAAAAAATGTCCATAAACTGACCACCTTCTCTTCAGAAGAAACTAGCTTCAGTTTGAAACTAGTGTATTCACATTTTTGCCATGCAACTACTTCTGCAAAGGTCCGTCATGAGCATCATCTTTCTCTAGAAAAGGGTGGTTTGTTGGTTTTACTGATGGTAAGAGCACACCCAAAAAATACAAAACTGCACATCTGCCATGTTTATGTTTGTGTACTAATAATGAGCTTCTTCAAATATGTTAATCTGAATCTTTTTATACACAACTTGGTAATTGCATCTTTTAGCGCCACAGGCTTTCTGAAATTTCCCTGCAGCTAAATGAAAATTTAAACAGAAAGAAAGACAAATACTAATCAAATTGATACCCATAACAATGCAACTCATGAAAGCAGCAAAATAAGTTAGATATTTATTTATAACTGCATACTTTTTATCACCAAAAAACCCCGGTCTAAGATAGATGCTACCCTCATGAATAATTTATGCTTTTTTAGCAACTGTTTTTTTTTTTTATTGTTGTGACAATTATTACATTTCCCAATAAAACCTAATTTGGAAAACAATTACTGATGTTTACTTAAATATCGTTTAATATATGATTCACATGAACTTTGAGAACCACTGGATGGATGTGTGAGCTTGCTTTACTAAGGTTAACTAAACACAAAGTACTTATAGAAATGTCACAAGTCCTCACACCTAAATGGCAAAATAGGTCATTGTCAGTTAACTCCAAACAATATTTATGACTGTACCCGAAAACAATATATTTGACCGTTGGAAGGTACAAGACCAGCAACAGTCAACCTGAACTTAAGTAGGCTATGTTACGTAAGTCACATGACGTTAAACATGTCAACAATGTGAAACACTTGCAGTTTGGTTTGGTTTAGGCAACAAAACTACTTGGTTTCAAATAAGTACTTGTGATGTAAGTCAAACTTAATTAAATAATGTTATTTAACTTAAAAGTCTAAATATGTCTATGTTGACTTTGTTTCACACGGCAAAATGCATCAATCTCCTGAGTGAGATTCCTGAGCTTACTTGACCCATCTGACCCAACCATACACCTCCCGACATGGATTTTGTTGCTCTTTATACTACGTAACCTGACCTGGTGAGGACGGGCTGTAATTTCATAAGATTTGTAGATATTTAGTCATTCATCAAAAAAGTATCGGACAAATTGTAACTTTGATTAGCCAGTAGATAACACATTCACATTACTTTTATTCATTTATTTTATCCAAAGCGACTTACAATTGCTATATATGTCAGAGGTTGCACGCCTCTGGAGCAACTAGGGGTTAAGCGTCTTGCTCGGGGACACAATGGTGTCTCACTAAAAAACTGAAATTTTAACTGCATGGAAAAACCCGGGGATTACCAAAGTCAATAGGCTTCATCATCTGTCAAAAATAAGATTCAAGTTGTAACAAAACTGAATTATCCTCTAAGTAATCATGATGTAGTGATGAAAAGCATACTTGATTTGCAATAGATGTGCTGAAATCTTGACCTAACTTCAGCAGACTGTATTCAAAAAGCCTTTCCTGTGTCCTGTTGTGGGTGCAGCAATATGAAACACTGACGACTTTCTCTTCACACACTGAAAATCATCCAAACCACAAAATCACAGCTTCAATTTGAAATGACTGTATTTACATTTCTGGCATGCAACTACTTCTGCAAATATTAGTCATGAGCGCCAACTTTCTCCTGAAAAGGGTGGTTTTACTGATGGTAAAAGCACACCCACTTTCATCCACACACTGCTGTGTGAACCGGAGGACACCAGTTTAGATGTTTTTTTAAGAAACCTGAGTGGTGGTAAACTTTATGTTATTAATCTTTGTATTTGTTTGTTTTTTTGTTCTTTTACAAATTTTCAGAAAATACAAAACTGCACAGCTGCCATGTTTAATATTCAGTTTCTTGAAACGTTTTAACCTAAATCTCTTTATACTAGATAAACTGTCCCACCTTGGTAATTACACCATCAATAAGGACATTCTGATATTAATTTTAACAGACAAAAGACAAAGTAATAGCCTTTGTAACTTAGTGTGCAGTTGTATATGCATTGATGTGCAAATTCAGTATAATATATATATATTTTTTTTTTACTGTTGTTAGTTAAACTGTGATTTTTGGCTGCTAACAGTATACAGAGAGGTAATTTATAGGCCTACATATAGTGTGAAGAAAACAGTTTTAAAATCCAGGACCTCCCCATTGGATGATAAAGCTCCTGGACGAGCTGAGAACAATCTTCAGCCTTAAATCCAGTAAATTAGACTGTTTGACATGAAATGTAACAGTGAACTTTTCTTTTGTGGTAAATGTTTGATCTTTCTTTTTGTTCTCTCCTCTGAGCTCATGATAAAGTGTTTCATGATGCCATTATTGAAGACGTGGTGCCCCTTGCTGCTCTCCTCCTTCTATCTATCTTTCTCACAGCAGACGAAGTGGTGAGGTCGATGTCAGACTGTGCAGAGTTTCTTTTCAGCAAACTCCACCACACGTCCAGGGAATCTTGGAGGGAGGGAACATCCTGGACCAGAACAGATACAAACCCATTTGCCAGACAGAAAACACAAGACGTTTTGTGACGCTCTACGACACCAAAAACAAGATCCCAGTGTTTTCTGCTTACAAGTACAGAGTCTTTGGAAGACAGAACCACAGGTAGGTTTAAAAAAACCTATATTGTTGTATTTTTAAAAATATATTTTTGTAAACTGACGATAAACTGATGATACTGCGATCCTACATAGTAGATCAATCCCCGACCAAAGATTCAGGCTACATGGTCGAATCAGAATTGTCAAGGATCATTGGATTAGTCCACCATTGGGGGGATTCCCCGCAGATCTATTCAAAGTTGCCTAAAAACGATATAATATTCTTTGGGTGGTTCATCAATGATGATAAATGATCCAAAAGTCCTGCAAAGCACATTCACCGGCACAGCTCGTGCTCTCTCCCTCTTCTACTACAGACACACATGCTACGCCAACACATGTACACTGGCACCCCCTAACTCAAGGGTAGGGTTACAATTTTGGATTTATTCACTCACTATAAAAATATTTATTTACAGATTTTACATGTTTATTTACAACATTATATGCTGATATTTATATCATAAAGGCTGTATATTATCGTATTGGGAGAACACCAGTAGTTCTATGTAAAATCAGACTTTGAGCAATCCCACTCGATCTCTGGATCGAGATCTGATTTTGAACTGAGGGTTTAAGATTGTTTAATATGTCATTATCATAACTGCATATGTTTATCCTTTAATGTGTGAGTTTGAATTGAATGTAACATGTTTTCTTTGTCTTTGTTTATAATGTGGAGTTATAGTGGTACTGAGGGCGTTTTCCTTATGGGCAAACACTAGCCACCCAAATGATGATTGCACAAGGAAAATTATTTAACACTTGTTTCTATGAACTCAAATGGACCCAGGAAGAAAGTATCTAGGAGTGATGCAGTTTAGAATCTGGCCATGTTGCCTACTTGGCTGTAGTTTTTACGGGTTGTGGGGAAAAGAAGGAGTAGCCTTCAGACATTAAGGTGGAAGGAAGAACGTCTCCGACAAAACTGGTCAGTAATCTCTCTTTAAGAATTTGGAATAAGAATTAAAT